TTTAGAACATTGCAAGAGCGTGGGATGGGATTATAAAGTCTTAAAATATATATAACTAAAACTAATAGTGTTCCTACATTGCGATTTTCCACCTATCGCGGGGGTGACTGGAACGTAACTCCACGATAATCGAGGGACTACGATAATATTATGAAATGTTAGTAAGCTGCAGATGTTCAGTGTAAGTCGTGTAAAGGAGGGTTTGATCTACGAAGCAAACTGTGTGCGTCAGCGAGGAAACGTCAGGTTCTGTTCTCTGTCTCCGTGTTACAAAGAAGAATTAATCTCAGGTCGGGTGAAAACCTTGAAACGATCAACTCAAGAGCAGAGTGCGTCTGAAACAGACGCCAACAAATGTCAAAGAGCTGCTTTCTAACTGTTCAAAATAAAAACTCACACAACAGAACATTTTAAAACCAGTTTTGTTCTCATATGATCAAAACTCCTTCTCAATCAAAACGCACTGGACTTTTCTCATGTCAGTCCCACAAGAGCTTCAAACAAAGGATTTCTATTATTAGGCAAATTTAAAAACATTTCATAACCTGGAGAGTTAGCTGACTGGAAGCTTCTTTATACTTTGTCAGTGTATTTTAGGGGAAAAAGGCTTAATTTGATCAAATTGTGTAAAAATTAAACAGTTTGCTTTACGGTCTGATCACATAATTACCATATCTTGAACTTCTTTTTGACTAAATTGATGTTTCTTCAAGTTTCTTCACTAAAGGTACTGCAGTTTTGTTAAAGGGCATCCTAGAGTCTCCAGCTGCGTTCTTTTAGTTTTCATTTTCTTTCAGGATGATCTCACCCTGACACAAAATAATGTTCAGCTTCAGACTCTGGAGAGGCTAACCCATGACTGATAGTGTTTTATGTTGTGTTGTTCATTTACTGCTTCGATGATGTGTTTGGGACGATTTTCATGCTGACAAACTGAGGCCGTCCCTCCAATCAGGCGCTCTCTAACAAGGTTTCACCTGACGGACAGAAAGCTGACAGGATTTTTCTAACAAACATCAGCTTCAAGCTGTGACGGAGAGGCCAACCTGTCACTCACAGGTTTACCTCTCCCCCCCCCCCCCCGGAAACTTTACGTACCTAACAAATTTATATTCATGGTCAAATCTTCTACAGTCCCCCAGGGCCGATAAATCGCTTCAGCAGATTCACACACGCACTTATTCTGAGGTTTCCATCATTTATTTGCACTCTAAATTTAAGCAGCATCTTCTGTTCTGACAAGACGAGCTAATCAGACAAAAGAAATCAAAAAGAAATGTGACTGATATGGGGAAACTCTGAGTAGGCCTGTCACGATAACAAACTTTGCTGGGCGATTAATTGTCTCAGAAATTATTGCGATAAACGATAATGTTGTTTGAAATTTGACAATTAGTAATTATTGTTAAATTTAAGAATAAATGTAGGTAAATTTTTGTGTGTGGTACTTTTTTTGACCACTAGATGGCAGTATAAGACCGTATGAACCTAAAGATGGATAGTGACGGAGCGAGCAGCGTCTCTTTAAGAAAAATGGGAGGGAGGTCCCTTGACGTGACATGGGCTGTCTCTCTTCGATTCTCAAAATTGCGGATGCTCAGTGTGGTTTGAACTCTTTAGCATAGCATTTTTCACACAAAGCTTTTAATAAAAAAATCAATAAACAAGTTCTCAGCTTCTTTTTGCAGAGAAAAACAACTTTTTACACGAAGGCACAGGTTTCAACCTTGAATTTTGGAGCTTTGACAAGACGGAAGGTTTTTTTTCCCCGAGGTTGACCTGTTAGCTTAGCTTCTCAGCTTAGCTGATTTTAACAATCCAAAAACACGATTTTGGACGGTTAAAAAAGATTTAAAAGAGAAAAGAGAAAGGGAGGGGTCAGTGAAGAGCACCGGAGTTGAGCTTTTTGTCATCCAGCGTCCTCAGTAGAAAGAGACACAAAGAAACGATGGTCGATAATTTTCATTTATCATGCGATTAATTGATTTACTGTTTATTGTGACAGGCCTAACCCCGAGTCAAAGTTTCTAGATATGTGAAAGGAAAGTTGCCTTTAAGGAGGACGTTGTGTAAACTGCACATAAAGAAGAAGGAACATTTGCATTTTTGAAAAGTTTGATTAATGTGCGTCTGTGGCTGTGGAGACCGCATGCAGAGGGAAACGCCTGAGGGATCCACTCCTGCTTCGTCTTTGTCTCAGACGCTCTCCAAAAACACACACACCCTCATGCAAACTCACACAAAAAGCCAATGAATGCTAAAATTGGCCACATACAAGAATTAAACAAATAAACATTTATGTTTTTTTATTTTATACTGTACATATCTGGCATAGAAATAAATGTGGATAATTTACAATGAGTTAGGCTTTCATGAAAAGGGGTTAAAAAAAAACTGAGAATAAGGTGAAGTTCATTTTTTGTTATACTGTTCTGCCATCAGAAGCATTTAAAATACATTAATATTCTTCAAGTGACAAAAGGTACAAACCAATTCATTCTGGTCCCTAACAAAAAGATGGAAACAGTGAAAATTATCATAGAAAATCTACATTTGTATCAAAAATGACTTCCACTCGGCGATGTTTTTAATGGAAGAGCAGAATTTTGAAGCCTGATATCAGGAAAAATAAAAATGTGTCCCAATTGAACCGGCAGACTGAACCTTATATGCAAGACGAGACTGCCCTCTTGTGTTTAATAATTACATGAGTTCTTCATGCGTATTCATATAAAGGGATCCCTCATGGATCGCAGGGGTTACATTCCAGAAACCACCGGGGTAGGTGAAAATCTGCGAAGTAGCAGCGTTACATTTATTTGATTATTTATATAGATTTAAGGCTTTCCGTCCCACACTCCTACAAAAAAATTTCACTCTCTTATAAACACCATATAATCTTGAACACTTGGTGATGAAGACGATGAGATGAATGTACAGTAATGCACAGCATGCACAGTACACACAATGTAAAGAGGGATGACTGTATACAGTGGGGAAAATAAGTATTTGATACTCTGACGATTTTGTAAGTTTCATCACCTACAAAGAACGGAGAGAGGTCTTTAATTTCTGTTGCAGATACATTTAAACTGTGACAGACAGAATCTAAAAAGAAAGTGCAGAAAATCACATTGTATGATTTTTAAATAACTCATTTACATTTTGTTGCATGAAATAAGTATTTGCTCACCTACCAACCAGCAAGAATTCTGGCTCTAACAGAGCTGTTAATTTTTTTAAGAAGCCGTCCTATTCGCAACTCAACTTTACTTTGGTAAATTTAAAACATTACAAAAAAAGGGAAAGAATATAAAATGGTAAATCAGTTATTTACCAAAAAAGGATTAGGCTGAAGCCAAGGCTTATACTTGCCTACCCTGTTCATAGACTCCACAGTCTACATGACGGATATCTACTGTCCATATAAATATATATACACATAAGTACACAAACAGACATTTACCGTATATTTAAATATTTAAATATGCATGTATATAATACATATATATACTCATTACATATATTTACCGTATATTTAAATATGCATGTAGATAAAACATACACCTTTCTGCACTCATTACCTGTATTAAGTGCACCTGTTTGAACTTGTTACATTTATAAATGACACCTGTTCACACAATCAATCACTCCAACCTCTCCACCATGGCAAAGACCAAAAAGCTGTCTAAGGACACCAGGGACTAAATTGTAGACCTGCACAATGCTGGGATGGATTACAGAACAGGCATGCAGCTTGGTGAGAAGACAAATATTGGCGCAGATATTAGAAAATGAAAGAACCACAAAATGACTCAATCTTCCTCCATCTGAAGCTCCATGCAAGAACTTGCCTCGTGGGGTAAGGATGTTTCTGAGAAAGGTCAAGAATCAGCCCAGAACTGAGGGAAGGAGGTCCCCACCTTTCCTCCTTTCAATATGGTGCAGTCGCCCTGTCCCCTTTGCAGAACAGCAGCCCCAAAGTATGATGCTTCCACCCCCATGCTACACGGTTGGGACGGTGTTCTTGGGGTTGTACTCATCCTTCTTCTGCCTCCAAACATGACACGTGGAATTGATACCAAAAAGCTCTATAGTGGTCTCATCTGACCACATGACCTCTTCCCATGCCTCCTCTGGATCAACCAGATGGTCACTGGTGAACATCAAACAGGCCTGGACATGTGCTGGTGTGAGCAGGGGGACCTTGTGTTCCCTGCAGGATCTTAAACCATGACAGCGTAGTGTTACTAATGGTCCTCTATGAGACTGTGGACCCAGCTCTCTTCAGGTCGTTGACCAGGTCCTCCCATGTAGTAAGAGCATTGAAGATGGGTCGTGGCTGGGTCTTCCAGTCAGAGCAACTAAGGAGTGGCTCCGTAAGAAGCATTTCAAGGTCCTGGAGTGGCCTAACCAGTCTCCAGACCTGAACCCATTAGAAAAGCTTTGGAAGGAGCTGAAACTCACTGTTGGCCAGTGACAGCCCTGAAACCAGAAAGATCTGAAGAAGATCTGTGTGGAGGAGTGGGCCAGAAACCCTGCTGCTGTGTGTTCAGACCTGCTCAAGAACTACAGGAAACATCTGACCTCTGTAACTGCAAACTGTTCCAAATTTTAAGTTTTGTTTTTCTATTGAATCAAATGCTTATTTCATGCAATAAAAGGCAAAATGATTATTTAAAAATCATACAATGTTATTTTCTAGATTATTTTTCTTAGATTCTGGCTTTCACAGTTGAAGTGTACAACAAAAACTACAAACCGCTCCATTCTTTGTAGGTGAGAAAAGTATCAAATACTTGTTTTACCCCAGTGTATATCTATGAAAATATATTAAAGGAGACATTTTTACTGTTTCAGTTGTTTTTTTATGCATTTAAAATATTTAAATATTTCGATTATTTCAATGGTTAGTATTGTGAGTACAGTTGTGTGAGTGTGTGAGTCACGGTTATTTCCTAAAGATCTGGCTGTAAAATCAAACTAAAGCAACTTCGTACCTGTCATCTTGTACCCACTGGCAGCAAGCTGTCCTGCCATGTACTCTCCATCTGAGTTGTTGTGACTGCAGCCCCATGTTTTGATCCAGATCTTCTGTGTGCCAGGAATCAAACTGGAAATAGATGGGATTTTATTAAATAATATTTGGTTTAGGCATGCTGAAATTCTAAAATCTGTATTTTAAGCTAATATTGCATACTAAGCTGAACTGATCATCTTTTCATAACATTTTTTTTTTCTATCTGTTGACTGAATAAAGTAAGACGTTATAAAACATATTTCTAGTGATGGGCATGTGACGCTTCATGAAGCTCTGGGGCTTTAGTTGTGCTGAAAAAGCTTCAAAGCTTCAGTGATGGAGACGTGCGGTGGACAACTGCAGCCACAAGAACCTCAAACGTATGTTCTGTTCATTTGTACAAATTAGTGATTACATCTGCATTACACAATAAAAATAAATATTATTTTAGACACTTAGAGAATACAACAGAGTTCTTTGTTAAAAAAGGAAAACATTTGTTTTTAAAAAACAAATATACATACAACTTTATATATAAAGCACTTTAAAAACAACACCATTGGTCCAAGTGCTGTACACTGAAAACACATAAAAAGTATGAAGACTACAAAATTAATTGAAACCGCAAAAGTAATTAACTGTTAAAATAAAAAAACAACAAACAGTAAAAACAACACAAATAAATTGAAACCTGAAAATTAATATATAGTATGAATAGTGGGGCGGCACGGTGGCGCAGTTGGTAGAGCTGCTGCCTCTCAGCAAGAATGTTGCCAAATTGAATCCCGGCCAGGGAGCCATTCTGGGTGGAGCTTGCATGTTCTCTTTGTGCATGCGTGGAGACCAAAGACCAAAAGCATGCATGTTAGGCTGAGTGGTAACTCTCATTTTGTCTCATTTGTCTCTTTGTGTCCCTGTGATGGACTGGAGACATGTGTACCCTGCCTCTCCCTTGTACAGTCACTGCTGGACATGGGCACCAGAGACTCCCGTGACCCGGAAAAGAAGATGTGGGTAAAAGATAATGGATGGATGTATAGAGAGTGTGTGTCAGCATGGGTATGTTATTACTGTAAAACAACTCCCGTGTGCTGTTCAAACGCCTACAAATAATTGTAATTTTGAGACCCATTTAAAAACAAAAAATACAATTCAATTATTAAAACATGAAGTGTAGGTCCTGGGAAACACTAAACTTTATTTGGAATAAGACCAAATAGCCAAAATTCATTTAATTTATTTTCCAAAATTCTATCTCCTCATAACTCAACATTTATTTACTAATGATGATGAATCTTAAGTAGCATTATCAGCATCTCGGCAGCTATAACTAGCATCTGTAAACCTGTGATTGGTTCAGAACTCAAACTTTCTGAGCCAATATGGAGCGAAATGAAGCGGTGATGACATCATAAGCTTCGAACATCGTTTGTCACATGATGGTGGTGTTTGATACAAGCTCCAACACGGCTTTCTGAACCGCTCTGCTTCAGGCAGAGTGACACAAGCTCTGAAGCCTCAGGACCGTTTGCCCATCACTACACATTTCACACGTCACCTGTCTGATCAAAGCTGGGAGTTAAAGGCCTACAACATACAGATCACTACAGAAGATGAGGTTCAGTTCTGGGCCTTTTCCTCAAATACTCAGGTCGACCCGACGCAGGTTCAGAATCTTTCTTATGGGTGCTTCCACCCACTTTCAGCTCAGTTCTGGAACCTCCTCCAGGCAAGTCGAGCCGAAGGTCTGACATCAGCAGACTGCAGGACGGTGATTGGTCAGAGAAAGGCACCAATCATGAGAGTCTCCTTGACGAGGATCAAACAACATTTTTAAAATCTCTAAAGCTTTTATTTATTTTTAAAAATACTACAATGTGGTATTATGAGGCGGTGCAGATGACAATTCAGATGGAACCACACCAAATGGACTTGATTTACAGCTTCAACCAGCGGAGAGAAGCTGGTCTCAACTCGACCACGGCATCTTTGGAAACGGAGGCAGTGAATCTTGAATGTTTAGTGACTAATTCTCTTTATTTTACATGTTGGTGGCAAGTTTCAGAAAGCTGTAGTATGAAGACCCACTTACATTGAGGCTACACTCATATGGAAAACTAGAAAGTTCCTGGAAAAACTTTGATGGGGGCTGCCTATTTATTATTAAATTATTATTAATAATAAATAGTAGCATTAATAATTAATAATATCAATAATTAATTATTAATATATTGTTGATTTATTAATTAGTATAAACTATTAATATATTTTATATTAGTATTAATAATTAATATTAAATATCAATTATAAATATTAATCATTATTAATGTTATTATTTCTTATTATTAAAATGAATCATTAATTTTTATTATTATTATTACTAATTAATAATAATAATAGGTGATAATAGGTGCCTTCCATGCATGTTGAACTAAAATGGCTCCTGACGTTACTCAGTTTCTTTGAAAAGTTTTCTCCTATTCATTTCCATGGGAAATTTGTCATTTTCGTTAGCAAATTACGTCACCATGGTAAAGCTAATTGCCAATAAAAGTAATAGCATACATCCAGGAGCCGGGCCGGTCGTTTGGATATAACTTTTGTGAGGGGAGACATTGTGGTTTGGGCCGCATTAACGGAGATAGAAATGTAGACACACTTCCGAGGTGTAGAATAATAGGTGCCTGCCATAGTCCCCAACTACCAACTACTCAGAATGTGTGGAACCGAGTCGGGTCGAAGTTGGACCAAGTGAGTTGTGCTGCGTTAAGTTATGCAAACAGAATGGGCAAATCAAAGCAGCTCTGAGTGTGATTAAGATTGTCTTGTTTCAGTTTGTAACTTACAAGATTTCTTTAAGATTAGATTTATTTATCAGGTTTTGACACTTCTGCAAATCAATCATTGGTCAAGAGTCTCTGTGCAATGCATCGTGGTACACAGAATACTGTGACCACTGATTCCTTCCTTTTCTCGCAGATTCATGTTCTCCCAGCAGAACACAGAGCTGTAGAACGATGAGCAGTTCGATTTATTTGTCAGTGGTCCTAATGTTTTGGCCACAGTCAGTGTAAAATCTCACTGAGCTTTTGGATGGTGCTAACTCATTTCTAACCCTCTGAAGAGTCCGTCAGAAATGAGGAAGCATATTCAAAGACATTCTGGACAGTAAACATGTCCCCAGGTTGAGTCGTCTCAGGTGTGCTGGGATGACGTCATCTTTACCTAAATGCACAGTTTCAAGGCTTCAACCCGCTGAACACTGAAAATACCTGTCAGCTTGGAGCTCCTCGTTGTTCAGAGGCTCCTTCTTCTTCCTGGCTCGTGGTATTATGTTCTTTCTGGCAGACTGTCTTTCATGAGGAGTGGGGTCCCCAGAGGACACCATGTCCTCAATGTCTTCAATCAGAGGGTCACAGTTGGACGGCATGATGATCTGAAAATCAGAAACGCAGTATTGTTGTATAAACCCAAACAGAAGGTTGAAAATTAGTTTTAACAACCAGGTATTTTATGTTTTGTTCACACAAGCAGCCAAAGTTATAATCAGATAACTTCTTCTTTAAGCATTTAATTCAGATTCACTGAGCAGGTTAGGAGGGTCAGGAAAACAGGCACACAGTCAAAACTTAAAGACCTGTTCTCTCTGTGGCGTTACAGATCTGATGATGGAAGCAAGAGGCTTCTGGGACAGCAATTCTCAAATGTTTTCATTTATCCTCGTTTAGAGTGGTTTTCATAACATTCAACAGATATATTAAGGGTTTGAACTAAGGGTTTGGGGAGGGGAGGCACAGAGATTAGAGAGGGTGGGTCTGTGATCGGAAAGTCACTGGTCAACTCCCCGGACCGATATAAAAAAAAAAGTGGGTGGAAAAGGTGAAGCACCCACACCTGCCTCCACCCACATTTGCCACACTCTGGGCTCATGAGCAAGGTCTTTAACCCACTCCCTCAGCTGCTCCTCAGGTGCCTTGATGGCAGCCCTCTGCTTCACATGTGTGCTCACATTTATATAAATCTCCACCGCTTTGCTTTTAACATCAAATTATCATTATTCATATTGGTCCAAACTAAAGGAGCCATTTTCCACTTTTGGGTGAATCTAATCTTTTTTTTTTAAAAAAAACGTTGCATATAAACTATCTTAAAACGTTTCGTGTGCACACCTGATTTAAAGTTACCGTCAGGCTGCAGTTTGTTGACATCCAGCATGCTAAACGCTAATAGCTATAAGCTAGCTGCACCCCACGTGCCCCTAACTTTGTGCTAACAGACGCCTCAAACTTTAACAAAACATCATTACCTGAGCTGAAACGTGGTTAATAAATCCAACAAATTCTGGTTCTGTGAAGAAGATCGTTTAACGATTAAAAACTTTGTTTATCTGCAGAACAGCTGTCACAGCTCTGGCACTGCCATGGCTTCCGGTAAGGAAAGCAGCGAGAGACAAAAAAAGAGAGCTGTACTTCGCACGCGCACTCAAAAGTGTTGCTCGAAGGGACCAAAGACATGGGGCATGTTGGAATTATACCGGCGACTTCATATGATCGTACTTTGAGCAAAACTGTCGTACACCTAGTGTTTCAGAATTATCTCCATCTGTAGCACTGTATCGTGCACCTTACAGCCTATAATGTGTTTTTATCTTTAAATAATCCGACACCTCCTGCACCACAGCGCCCCCTGTAGTGTGGAGGTCATGTTAAATGAAATCCACCTGCTAACATGGTTTTGTTGTTAGGTTTTATTATAAAGTTGGGGGGAGGGAATGAAGTAAAATCAGTGCTAATTTTGAAGTGGTCAAATTATTGTGCATTACGGGACTTTTGGAACGATTGATCGCACATCTGTCAACGCCGCACAGAAAATCAAAATGTACAGGTATTGCAAGTCTCTATACTTAATTAAATGTTGTGCATCATCTTCCAGTAAAGAAGTTATTTTCATATTTATTTACCTTTCTGTGTAGACTGAACCAAGCCGACAAGTTTTCTTGTTTATATAGCCTTTATTGTTTTCAATTGCAAATGTCCACATTACAAAAAATACAATTACCTCCCTCCCCCCACCCCAACACACACAACTCATATTCCTCAATTTAATGTAGAAACAATTCAACAAATCAAAGAAAACATCAACACGTCACCCATGCATTCAAACTGCAAGTTACCCTTCGCTGTAGTTGGTGAAACCAGGCAGCAAGATTTTAATTTGACACTCAGCTGTTATTAGTTGTTTTATTTTTCCTATCAGTTACCATAACCTTAGAAGTTTGGATAAGAATATTATATTTGGTAACAGCTTAATAACTGTTAAAAAAATAATAATCAACCGTTCCCATCTCTTGAAGTCTGACAGGTTTCTGTAAAATCTCCTCACGCATCAGAATCATACGATACAAAACAAACGGCCACCTTTTTTACAAAACATCCCCCTCAGTGGTTCATTAAAATCTTTTTAAACATTCAGTGGAAATTCTGGGAAAATTAAAATGTTTCCAAAAAGCAGGTATTCACCGTGTAAAAATATTTAGCCGTTTGAAACAGGAGTTAAGATTATTTATATGATTAGAGCATGATGCAGCCGTCTGAGAACAAAAAGAACATTCATGTTGAACAATCGCCTAAATAAAGGGATGACTGATCAGAATGTGTTACAGGCAGTTTCTATTAGTTTGGACTCAAACATGTCTCATTAAATGACTGTTTTACGAGAGAACGCGTGACGTGAAAACAACTCAAATATAGATTTTAAACGGTCACAACCTCCCTGACCTTAAAACACAAAAAGACCTAAGCAAAGCACAAACACGTGCTCGTCCTGGTTCAGGTGTTCAGACGTTCACAGGTAAATACACCGAACACATGTGGATGAACACGTTAACCGTTTCAGAACCGTTCCTGCTTCAGATTAAAGACAAAAAATTTTAAAAATTAAAAAAATAAAATAAAATAAGAGCTGAATAACTTATGAAAGGTTACATAAAATATATATTTCAACATACATCCAATTTATCCATTTCAAATATGCTCCTATAAATTAAGTTCAAAATGTTCAAAATAATACTTTAAAACCTATTTGTGAGATTTCTAGTTTTATATTTGGGATTGCAAAATCCAACATTCCTGCTTCTAATTGTACAATTTCTATAACAAAGGGGATCTGGACTCCCAGTCTATGTAATGGAGATCTATGCTGGGACCATGAACCGTCAGGGGTGGCCTACAGGACCTGTGCATCAAAAAAATACTCAACTGTACATGAATTTACACAAAACTGGACCTGAATCAGTCAAACTGGGGGTGGGGGGGGTGGGGTGGGGGGCAGAAAGATCATCCAAAAACATGTTTAACTTTGTATTTCCAATAATCCTTTTTAACCTTTCACCACTCGTATCGAGTCAAATAAAAATAAAAAAAGACGCAGTGTTTGAATTATGCAAGATATTCTGAATTTTTTTTTAGTCTGAATGAATCTTTAGTTCATCAGACAAGTTTAATGTCATTTAGTCGTTAAAATCTAATAAAATTGAAGGCTCGACTATCAAAAGGTGTGGGGGACAGATTCAAAGTCAACCGAGCACCTGAAAGAACATTAGTGGGAGTTTGGCCATGGTGAGAGTGCAAGTCTGTTTTTGAAGGTGAGTTCTGTGCCAAAGTACAGAGTAAACATCTTACCTGTCACAGGTTCAGTGTTTGAACACCCTCAGGTTGTAGAAACAGCTGACCTGATGCGCTAACAGTCTGTTCAGGGTCAGATGGGTCAGAGACCGTCTCTAGAGTTTCTCAGTTTAACTGAACACTGCTTTAAAAAAACTCTCACACCTCATCTCCATAAAATACTAACATTAATGGCAAGCACAGATAGCAGCAGCAGCTCGGCTGTATCACTTCCTGTACAACATGGGGCCATGTCCTGCAGGATGATCAAAATATTTAATTTGAAGTAAGCACAAAAACAAACAGAAAACTTTACAAAATGTATGATGGGTGTGAAAAAAGATTAGATTGAAGGCGTTTTAAGACAGAAGTTATCCACTCTTTCTGTCAGCTTGCTAATCCTGTCAGGATTACGGTAAATTATTTCTTCAGACTGAGGTTGTTCAAAGAGCACTTTATAAAAAGTAAGACTGGTTCCAGTGTTTCCCCAACGTTACTTGCCTTGGCAGGGCAGGGCGCTCATCTTTTCCTTTTGTGATTTTTGTTGACGGGGGGGTAAGAGACAGAGACTTGTCCGTGTTGCACTGTTCATGCAGACAGTTCTCAACTGGGGGGTGGAGAAAACGGCTCAGCGTGAGGGAGACGAAGCACTACCTCTGTAGCTTTTCAGCTAGCAAGTCTGTTTTGTGCACCGCTAGCTTAGCGCTACATCATTGTTGACGAAGAGGACAGATTGGAAGGCAGGGCGCTCGGTTCCGTTGACAGGGTGGGGCACCCACCTTGAATAATGGTAGGGGAAGCACTGGGTCTTCTCTTCACATAACCATACTTCAAAAACCATTAAAAAAAAAAAAAAGGTGTGCAGGTGTGTGTACAGGTGTGATTCATGTAAATATGGTACTGTTGGATCACCTTATGGCTTTGCTGGACTGTTTGCCACTAAACAGTCCCGTCAGTTGGTTCTTTCTGGCCCGTTGGTACCAATCACTGCAGTTAAAATCTGTCCCTTCATCTCTGAAGGACAGACTGGTGGACATCTGTCGTCGTGTCCAATGACAAGGAGGCACCGCTTCACCGGACCGTCCAGAACCAGAACCACCCTTCACTTCTGACAACCTTTAATTTCTACATTGTTCTACATCTGCACACATCTAAAACAGTATGAGCCTCACATCACAGACCTCTGGTGAAATCAATCACCCCCCCCAAGCATTAATGCAGTACAGCCTTCATAGATCAGCAGGTAACTGCACCAACCAGAAGAAACTACATGTGGTTCTCTGAGTCCTGATCTACGCCCAGTCAACCAAGACGCGGGGGTTAATATCAGGAGGGAGTGGGGGTTCCTTCATGTTGTTCTGTCTTTGTTGGCTTGTCTGTAATTAGAGTAAAGGAACGTTCCCCCTACATCTATAAACCCTCCGTGTAAAAACATTAAGCTTCTTCTCACTGAGCGGTCCGTTTGTCATTCGTACCGTGGAAACAAGAGTTTAAACTGCATGGGACAGTTTAAACTCAGGGGTTAACTCAGTTTTAAACCCCCCCCCACACACACACACATACCTCCCTGTGCTTATTTTAGCTAATGTTAGCTGCACAGCAGCTCATCCAGACCCAGAGAGGGCATTTTGTCAAAGTCACAAGCGTCAAACAAGTCGCTGATTCCCTGGTCGTCTCCCAAACCTAAGAGGTAGTCGTCATCCAGGATGGGGGGCACGAGGTTCAAGAAGGGGCCCTGGGGCGGCTGGATCTGGTCCTCAGTCTGCTGCAGGAGACTGGTGTAAGTGGACGAGATGGGGGACAGAGTGGTGATGGAGACGGCTGAGGACGAGGTGGGGGGAGACAGGAAGGAGCTGGGAGACGTGGATGTGCCGCTGGGATCTGTGAAAACCAAACATTATTTTTCTCAACAGAGGAAAACGCTCCGTACGTTTCACACGCACAAACAACAAAGATAATAAACAACACTTACACTTCATCTGATCTCAAAGAGCCTCATTAATGTAATAAATGTCAGATTCTCTTCAGTACTTTGATATTTGTTGGGCTTTGCCTCAAAACAACCCTAAAACAAAATACTGCAAACAGATAGACCAATCCTTGTTTTACTAAAGATAATAAACCAACTAGAGAAATTGCATTTCCTATGAAAATGCAGTGTGATTATTGCTGAATGACCTGCTGAAAAACAGCTGAAAGTAACTAAAAACAAGTTGAAATGTAGCTGAAATGGAAGAACAAGCCTAAGATAGAAGAAGAAAGCAGGATAATAATAATAAATAAATAAATAAAGTGTTATGTGTTGTCATCATTGTATGTTCCCATACAAATATGAAATTGGCTCTCTGCATTTAACCCAGTACACCTGGGATACAATCAGGTGGAGCAGTGGGCAGCTATGTAGGCGCCCGGGAAGCAATTGGGGATTGGGTGTCTTGCTCAGAGACACCACGACATGTGGGAATGACTGGGACTGGTAGTGGTGTAACGGTACATGTGGGTGTATTGAACCGTTTCGGTAAAGCATGTTCGGTTCGGTCCACCTGCGTACCGTTTCAATTATTTTTTTTACTCATTAAATTTTATTAACGAGAGATTTTGCGCCACGGAACTAAAGTTCCTAAGCGTGTTTCAGCACGGCGCTATAGTCTTGCAGCACGCGTAGCATTAGCAGCCTAGCAGGAGGCCCTTTCATCTTGTTGCGGTCTCCCGTTTGGGAACATGATGGCTTTCTTGTTGAAACTCAACAATGGGAAAAGACAAGTGCAAATCCAAAGCTGTGTGTCGACATTGTTTCCCAGAGATTGGATCTGCAGCAGGCAACACGTCTAACTTGTTAACACACTTGAAACAACATCATCCGAACGTGAACGTCTCTTCTAGCAGTTTGGTGCAAAGCAATAACACAAGCTGTAGGAATTTTTAAAGCTATGGATCGTGATACCGGATTTAAGCATATGATAAAGTTCTTGAGCCCTGCTACGACATTCCATCACGTCAACACTTCAGCCAAAAAGTTGTAGCAGCACTTTATGAAAAAGCTAAAATTGATCATCAACAAGCCCGACCCCAGATTTAAAGCCCTGCCCTGATGATGATGAGCGAGAGATTCAACTACCTAATAACAGAACTGATGACCGTGCAAGGAGTTATTGTTATTGTATTATTGTGATCTAATTAACTTCTTTAACTTAAAATTATAATCTTATTAACTCAATTTTTTATTTTTTTTACCCCTTTGTGTTTGCAGTCTGAGGATGTCACCGAGAGCTGAGCAGCTGAGATGCAGCTGAGTCTTCTTCATCTTCAGGGAATTTTTTTTTTATGTATTTTTATACAAACATATTTTTTACTTGGCATATTTTCAAAATAAACATATTGTAAGTCTTTATTTTGGCCTTTTTTGTATAGAAAATTATCTGAACCAAGCCCTCCTTGAAACTGAACCGAACCGAAATGTGATTTTAGCGTACCATTACACCCCTAATGGTTGGGGATCGAGCCTGAGCTTCCGGGTCCCGAGTCGGCTATCCTGCTTGGCCCCCAAGAAAGACCACATATTTGCGGAAAATTATTTAAACAAGCAAAAATTAGAAAGATAGAAAATTAGCTTAAAAAAGGCCTCAAACTAGCAAAAACACTGAAAAGTAACTAAAAGGCAGAAAGAAGCTTAAACTACCAGAAGGAAGTGGAAGAAGCTGAAATGAGATTTTAAAAAATGTGGAATTAGCTGAAAAAGCTAAATTTAACATAAAACAGCTAAATAGTAGCTGAAATAGAAAAAGCTGAAATTAGCAGAAGTAAGCTGAAAAGAGCATAAGTTGAAATTAGCAGACATAAGTAATTTAGGCTGAAAGTAGCCAAAATTGTCAAGAAAAACTTGAATACAGCTAAAATTAGTTAAAAAGTAGCTGAAAATGTAGAACAATTTTAAATTAGCAAAAGTAAAGAGCACAAAATTTTGCCAAGTTAGGCTAAAAGAAGCAGAAATTAGCACAAAAAAGACCACTTGCTCCTCACAGTTCCAGGAATTCGTCTTAAGCGCAGAGGTGACAGGGCCTTCTCTGTAGCAGGACCAATACTTTGGAACGAGTTACCTCTGCTTGTCAGACAGGCCCCCTCCTTCTCGGTTTTCAAGTCCCGTTTAAAAACTCACTACTATTCAGTAGCTTTCAACACCAGATGACCTGTGTTTTGATCCTGTATGCTCCACACTGGTTAGTCATAGATCTGCATCGTTTTTATGTCTATATTTTTGATTTACTTCATTTTGTATTTTGCTTTGTGTGTTACTTGTTGTTCTGTCTGTACAGCACTTTGGTTGGCTTTGTCGCTGTTTTAAGTGCTCTATAAATAAAATGGTATGGTATGGTATGATAGAAAAATTGCTCAACTTCCATAATTCTATTCCAACTTCCATAATTCCATTCAAAAAGTTAATCTTTAATAGATGATAGATTCAGGGCCATTAAACGATTTCAAGTATTTATTTGTTTATTTTTACATAATTTGGGCTTCCAGCTAGAAAACAGGATGTCAAAAAATTTGAATACTGTGAAGACATCAGCCCACACGTCTCAGTTTTTGCAGAAAAAAAAATAAAAATTAGGATCACAACAAATCAATCAAAATATGGTATGGTAAAATATGACACGATATGTCAATATTCAATACTTAGTTGGGAATCCCTTTGTCTTAATCACTGTCTCGATGTGACATGGCATTGAGTCAATCAGCCTGTGGCATTGACTGGGAGTTATGGAAGTCCAGATTTCCTTGCTGCTGTCAGCTCTTCTTTGTTGTTGGCTCTAGTGCCCCTCAGTTTCCTCTTGAGAATACTCCATAGATTTCTCAATGGGGTTTAGGTCCAGCCAGTTGGCTGGCCAGTCAAGCACTGTGGAATGGACATCAAACCAGGTTTTGGTGCTTCTGGCGGCATGGGGAGGGGCCAGGTCCTGCTGGAAGATGAAATCTGCATCTCCATACAGATCCTCAGCAGAAGGAATCATGAAGTCCTCTAAAACATTCTGGTAGACTGTTGCAGTGACCTTGGATTTAAGAAAACGGAGTTTACAAACACCTGCACCGGATATTGCACCCAAATCATGACTGACTGTGGATATTTCACACTGGACATCAAGCAGTATGGGCTCTGTTCCTCACCCTTCTTCCTCCAAACCCTTGGACCTTGATTTCCGAATGAAAGACACACTTTACTTTCATCAGAAAAGAGGACCGAGGAACCCAACAGTTGTAGCCCATCTCCCAGATGCCTCTGAATGTGGTGGTTTTTGAAGCTGTGACTCCGCCTCATCCCACTCTTTCTGGATCTCTGCCAGATTCTGGAATCTTTTCTGTTTGATAATCCGCTGAAGCCCACGATCATCTCTTTTGCTGGTGCATCTCCTCCTGCCACATTTTGCCCTTCCACTAGACTTTCCATTGATGCGCTTGGACACAGCACTCTGTGAACAGCCAGCCTCCTTAGCTATGAACTTTTGGGGCTTACCCATCCTATGGAGCGTATCAATGACTGTCTTCTGGAAAGTTGTTATGTCTGCAGTCTTCCCCATATTGAATCGAACTGAGACAATTGAACCAAACTGAAGCAATTTAATGACACCTGGGGAAACCTGTGCAGGTGCTTTGAGTTTAGTAGATGATTAGTGTGTCACACTCAGTTTAAAATATTCATGCCCTGCAAAATTTGGGCTGATTTCTTCACAGTATTCTAATTTTTTGAAATCCTGTTTTCATGGGTTTCATGAGCTGGAAGACAAAATTATGTAAAAATAAACAAATAATTATGAAAAAAAAAGGCATGTAAAAATAAACAAATACTTTAAATTGTTTAAATTGTGGGCCCTGAAACTATCATCAATTAAAGAAACTTTTTGAATGGAATTATAGAAGTTAAACAACTTTTCCATGATATTTTAACTTTTTGGAAAGGGTCTGTAGCAGCTGAAATAGCATAAAGCGCTGAAACTTGCAGAAATAAGCTGAAAGGAGGATAACAAGCTGAAACTAGCAAAAAGAAGTTAGAAGTACAAAAAATGTTGTAGTTGGCAGAAATATTTTGAAAAGAGCATAAAACAACTGAAAAAACAACTCAAAGTAGCTGAAAAAATGTTTAAATTTGCACAAGGACGCTGAAAGAAGCTGAACCAGAACAAAATGTGAAAGGAGCAGTAAAAGATTGTAAACACATCTAAAGATATGAAGGATGTAAAATGAGCTCAGTTCTTTTTCTAAGTGAAAAAAATGGCAGAAAAGGCTAAATATTTCAAAAAGCTCAAGTTGCACCAATACCAAGTCATAGCAGGATTGTCCTGAAAAAGCTGAACGTTTTGATATAAGTTTGTTGAAATAGCACAAACTGTGGAACGAGAAAGATGCCGATAAACGTACGAAGAAAAATGGATCACAATTGTGTGAATGCTTTATAAACATTCACACGACTAATTTTTAGTATTAACAACATTCATTCATTCAACCTTTATTTAAACAGATAAATCACACTGAGCCTCGAAGACTCATTTACAAGTGACTGATTAAAATGTTTGTTAAGTCTTGTTTTGTTTGTTCCATCTTTAGTTTACTTTCTTCATGTTTGTGGCAGGTTTTTATAATATTCACAGCATGACAGACATTTTGGTGCACCAAAACTAAGCTTTCTCCCTTTTTAAGTTTGTTTGTTGTTTACATCTGTAAGAAAACCTTAGGAACATGCTTCAGATCAGACCAGCATGTTTCACTAAGAAAACACTTCCTCTGATGTTTTATAAAGGTTTTTCTCTCTGTGTGAATCGTTTTGTCTCGTTTTAAACCCTACAAAAGGCAGAAAGTTTTAACTCTTGAACAAAGACACTTAAACGTCTCCGTGACGACCCCGTTTAGAAAACAATCAGAAATATATTAACCTGTAAAACTTGTCTGTAAACTGACAAAAAGAGACAAAGATGTTAAAACTGTGACTCATCTAAAGCACACCTTGAACAACTTTCAGGAACGGCGAGTTCCCGTTGATGTCCGCGTTTCCATTTTTTACAGGACTCATCTCGTTCTCGTCATCTGGGCACAGCAGGACCTCGATTGGACCCTTGGTGCTGGTCAGGTGAATGGATAAACTCTGGAGCAAAAAATGAACATTAAAGATGTTGACCTCTATGTGTGATTACCAGCATGTAACAATCTACTTCAGATCCAACTCTAAATCCTCTAAATTCTCAAACGCTGGACAAAATGACAAGCTAAAGTAACATCTGTGAGCAGGATTAACTTCAAGGACCAATGAAAGAGCTAAAAAGGACTTCAGAAGATCTGGTGGACACTTCAGTTCTGAAATGACAGGAAGTGATGCTGTGGTTTTGTGTTCCTGAGCATCGGCTCTGACCTCGTCTGGGTCCGGTACTTCCAGTTTGGTGTCTGTTGGAGCTTTGACCACAATCACAGTCTGGTCTCGGAGGCTGTCCACTTGTTTGATGTCTTGATATGATATATAAGCATACGTGGAAACAAACGTGTTAAAGAAGCCTGACATGTCGGGGAGAACTTCTATTTAGCACATTTATTACACTGAGCTTGATTGAATGGCATAAAGTTATCTGATGGATTATAGAATGACAATAAAACCATCAGGTAACAGCTGAAGTTACCTGATCAGGTAACAGCTGAAGTTACCTGATTGACAGCATCAGGTAACAGC